CCCTCTAATCGTATTTTATAAATATACAACATGATTGTCATATCGCGGATAGTCGGGAAAAAGTTACCATGTTCCCTCTAATCGATTTTGATAAATATACAACATGATTGTCATATCGCGGATAGTCGGGAAAACGCCCTGTCATTGAACCGTTACCATTAAACTAACTATAATAAACCTATTTTTAAAATGAAAATTTTATAGAGAAAATGATCGTTAAGATGAAGAAGAATTTCTTCCATATTTTACATTCATTCCCAATCTTACTTAATATTTCGGGTTAAAATGATGATCCACTAAGAAAAGTTATATTACATTCAGTTATAGTTCAAATAAAATAATAACATTATCTCAATTAATTACTAGCATTAATCATCTAATAGATTAATTTCAAATATCTACCATAATGAACGTCTTTTCCTTTTTTTTTTTTCTTTTCGAATGTCACCATTATGATTATAATTTTGGTGATACTTCAAGATCATCATCAAGAATTACTGGTATCATTTTTTTTCCTTTTCTCTCTCTTCTCTCTCTCTCTCCATATATTTTGTTATTTTCTTTTAGATGATAAAGAAAGAAAAATGAAAATTTGACATTTTTGGGCATAATTTGGTGCTTTTGATGTAAACAAGATAAACATGTCTAAATATAAACAAAGTCTAGACTTGATAGTATAACTAACTGATTTGTTTCAAATAACTTGTTATTGATGAAATACGATAAGTGCAAAAGCAAAGGGTTATTCTCTCTCTCTCTCTCTCTCTCTCTCCTTCTCTCTCTTCCTTATCCTCAAACTAAATTGCTGGCTAACTAGTTATTTACAATTCTTCTCAAATATACTCTTTTCATTTTAGATTTATTTATATTCATCCTATTGATGGTATTTATTTGCATAACAATATACTAACACTCAACAATAAACCCCAAATCATAAAAGATTTGATGAGAAGATGAGAATGATATTATAAAAGAAAGAAATTGTAGAAAGGGAAATGGATGGATAGATGTTGTATCAATTTTATTTACTCTCATTAATTAAGCCAAATAAAGAAGGTTAAAATACATTTAGTACGGTGAATAGATGAATGATTGGGTGATAGTAGCTGTAAAATTTTAACACATTATTCAACTTTATCCTATTACTTTAAACTATTTTGTAAAAAAAAAAAGACAAAAAAAGAAGAGGGAAGAATGGAAGGAATTTTGTTTACATGTTGAATGAGGAAGGAAACAAATCTTTCTATCTTTGGCTGTTACTGGTTAATCAATCTTTTGGTATGCTATGAAATGAACTAATTGATTGATGATAATTGCAACATTTTATCATCGTTCAAAAAAATAACATTTAGCTTTCGTATATTTGTCATCATGATCAAACCAATATGATAATTTCTCTTCTTTTGTTGTCATTAATGGTATTTTTTTTGCTTTCTCTTATTGTTGTTTTATTTGTCATCGTGATCAAACCAATATAATAATTCTTCGTTTTTTTTTTTTTTTTTTTTTTTTTTTGCTTTTGTTGTTGACGGTATTTTTGGCTTTCTCTTACAGTTGTTTTATTTGTTATCGTGATCAAACCAATATGATAATCTCTTTTCTTTTTGTTGTTGTTATTGATTGGTATTCTTTGCTTTCCCTTACTGTTGTTTGTTTAAAAGATTTTCTGAAGGCTTTTTTTTTTTCATTCCTTTCCTCTTTTTTCCACTCGTTTTTTTTTTCTTCCAATGTCTGTCAATAAAACAAAACGAATTAACTAAAATGAATTAATTTAAATGTTTTACTATCTTACGAACTAATTAATGCCAATAAACTCAATTAACTAAATCTCTCCGATCTAAGATGTTATTTTATCAAAATGAAATTAGTGAAATGTAAAATGGGAGCGATTTTTTCATAGCTTGCATAATATCATATCAATTGTTCTTCATAATAGATGATAAACACAAGTATTGATATCACAATGCTATTATCTAAATCAAAAGTCATTATCAGCACTTCACCGATTAATCGTACAGAAGAAAGTCTCTCTCTCTCCCTCCCTCTTGTAGAAAAAAAGAAAACCGGTTTTTGATAACGAAGAGATGGATAACCGGTTTCTTTTTTGTTGTTCATGTCTTTAGACATATCATCATGTTACAGTGTATCAGCTTACTTATCAAACCACCAAATCAGTGATTGCAACAATTTGTTATTACTCATAGATATCCCATATCGTATCATAACATTATCTTCCTTTGATAACAACACCAACAATTGTTACTAACTATATTACTTTACCATTTTGAATTCTGATAAGTAAGTTTTTAAGAGTAACTTCTCAACAACAACTATTATTACTACTACTACTACTACTACTACTACATGATGATTTTAAGAGATGATAAGAATAAAATGTTAATTAATTTTTTAACTTTATGAAAATCTCTTAATTTTTTTTTTTTTTCATCCCATAAAATATATATTACACAATGTTACATATGTGTGTACATTGGTGTATATATACGCCGTATTGATAATAATAATGATTATATAGAATAGTGTAGAAGGGAGAAGGAGAAGGAAATATTGCAACATAAAAGTTGAAAGAGTTATTGGAATGCAAATTGATTGCTTATCCATTATCCTAAACAACTTCTTTTCATTTAAATTAAACAAGATAATATCTATCTATATCATTTACTTTTATTTTATATATTACTTTTTATTTACCTTTTGTCAACTTATACTTTCTAAATTAAAGTTAATCAATTGTTACTTTTAAAATTTGTCACGTTAAATATACGAATAATACGTTATCATTAACTATGACATTGTTTTTCTTTTTTTTTTTTTTTCAGTTTCAAATATTTTGGGAACGCATAAAAGGGAAAAAAGAAAATCTTTTTCCTATCATAATTGTGCGTGCAATTAATTAATTTCGATCAAAAATAATATTCCATCAACAACCAATCAATATATTTATTCTCATGCGTTATTGTTACTATTGCTACTACTACTGCTACTGTCATCTTTATGCGCGAAAAGTTTGTCAACTATAAGCTAGCTAATTATTTGAAAAATTAACTAACAAAAGGAAATAATCGAAAGGAACGAAATACGAAACGATTTTAATCATAAAAATCGATCTT